TCACTGATCGAGTCTTCGACATCGTCCACGAAAACCAAAACTTGCACTTTTGAGCGAAGTATGTGAAAGAGGTCCTCCACTCTTCTGGATCCTGCCATGTCAGAATGTTCCAAAAAATCTAGATAATTTAGCATCATATGAAGTTTAGGAATCTGATATTATTTATTTATAAAACATAAAAAGTACAATAAAAAAATACACCAATTTATTATAATTTTGGAATATTTTTATATATTTATTTACTTACAAACTTTCCTTCTTTAGAATTTAGAATGATATATGTATATATTTACAATATACAAAACATATTAAATATATCTGTGCATTTACAACACAGTTATTTTAAAACTTCCATAATATAAATGATAGTTGCATAAATTTTTAATAAAAATAATTTTTTCTGTTATAATTTTAAATAATTTATAAATGTATATGATGATGTTTAACAAATTTTATTGTTTTGTTTTTTTTTTTGTAATAAAGTTGTAATTATTGAAACATACTCAATCATGCCATCCTTTCAAAACATTAATATGTAATATTCAAGGATCTGGGTTATATTTTTAAGTTTACTTAATAGTAATGCAATGGTTCTCAACTGACAATTGTAAATTAGATATTAAATATTAGTAATTTCTGTTTAATTGAAAAAACTACAAAAATATGTAATATTTAATCCCATTGGGACCAAACTCATTAACTGATTCCTGAAATCTATATGAAAAATCATGATTTCTTTTTTATTATCTAAAAATTAAAAGATGGTAGAAAACATGTAATAAATATGACAGTAAACAGTGTTTGAGTTAGTTAGTTTTTATACAGGAGACACAGTTAAAATTGAATGCACTGATTTTGGTGCCAAGTAACAAATTAAAACTGAAAAGTCATTGCATAAAATTTTAACTGCACTGCCATGTATTGTTGAAATTTATGATAAAATGATGATTATTTAAAAAACTTTATTAAGCATAATATATTAAAGTAGTATATGCATTTATTATATAAAAATTTCTTAAATATTTTAATATTTATATAAAACTACAAATGCTGTTTATTTTCATAGCAAATTATCAAAACTATATTTTAAGTAGCAAATTTAATTAGTTTTTAGTTATTTAGAACAAATTAGGATAATCAGATTAAACTGAATATTTTGCATAAAATTTATAAAATAAATTTGTAATTTGAGAAAGTTGAGAACCAAATCCAATTCACTCATTAATGACCAACATATTTCTAAGTTAATAGATTACAGTAGAACTCAGTTATATTTACTTTAATATTAGATAAAGAAATATTGGTAATATAGTTGCATTGTAGGTTTTTACTGATTAAATTAAAATTTTATCATCAGTTGATTATATATTCAATAGTTAATTGTTGTGTATATGTTGCCAGCTGTATATAAGTATTTTCAAGAAAGAATTTTGAAATTTAAATAAAAGTGTTTAATTACACTGTAAGTTATCTATAAATATATAAAAACAAAAATTTAATACATGTTTGAGCAGTTAGTAATTTTATAAAAAGAAAATTCTTGTACATAAATGTTATATTTTAATTAGTAATTATAATTATGATTTAGGTTTTTTTTTATTTAAAGGAGTCTAATTACATTAAATATTCTAATTTTTTTAATCTTTTTGTTTGTAAATTAAATTTTAAGAATTATTCCATTAAAGATTACTTTATAAGAATTATTTTGCCTAATATTTAACTAGAATTTGTTTTATTTTAGATTTATCGTATATGTTTTTATTATGTTAGTATGTAAATATACATAAAACGTCATTAAGAGATTAATTAAAATATTAAAAAAATTTAAAACTTTGTCATCAGGTAAATTTTTCATTTTTTACTGTAACACTTATTTTGTAATATTTATCAAAATAAAAAAAGATTAAAATGCTATTAAACATCATATAATTTATATGAAGTTCAATAATTAATATTTTAGATTTCATAGTCTTACTAAAATATTCAAATTTTATAAATTTAAAATGGAATTTGTTGCCTATAAATTTTAAAATTTTAATGAATATTTAATTTTAAATAGATAATTATCAGCCAGCAACTACCAGATTATATCAGGCTATTAAATTGCAATTATTTCATATTAATTACTAAATAATTTGTCACTGGAGGGAGGTGATATGCACCATCTCTTATTAAATTAAATAATTTAGAAATATTATGTTTTATAATTTTTAATTTNTTCAGTAGTTGTTGCCGTATTATATATGTACATCAGGTTTGTAGATGTTGGTTTATGTAGATAATTATTACTATGTAATATGTAGACAATGAAAATTTGCCAAGTATACTTTCATTGTTTATGTATTACATAGTATACTTACATGTTACTGCTAATGCAGTATATATGTGAATTTATTGGAACTTTATGCGTATAATAAATACAAAATTTCATAATACTAAAAAAAAAAAACCATGTAAAATAAGCAATTAAAAGCACTTTTGCAATCTACTAACAAAAAAATCAAAAATATTTTCAGTTTAAATACATTATCATATTCATACATGTTTATATCATTGATTTCAGATATATTTACAGGACATCCTACATATTATCAAATAAATATTCATACCTGTTTGTCATGTAAATCAAGCTTTCTTAACAGACTTTACTGTAACTGCTTTTAACTGAAAAATACAATGGCAGTATTGGAAATTCAACCAAATATTTATCTTTAAATTAAAATTATTTTAATAATAATGGTATACATGAGATGCACTAGGTTGTACAAGATACATTCACATAAATTAAAAATAACTTACTTATTTCCTATGTAAATAAACATACACTTACAATTTCAAATAAAAATAAATTATTTATGATATGTGAAATGATGTAGTTTTAATTCAGAGAAGTTCCTAAGTAAGAATATGAAGATGATAGATACATATATAAAATATTGATTCATTTGACTAGAAGACACTTGTTTATTTTTGATTTAATTTTTTTTCAACTTCAAATGAAAATATTTTTAAAATCTTAGAATATAATTTAATGATTATAGGAAAGTCATACTTTTTAAATTTGATTTTCTATTCTTTCATAGTTCTCAATATTTTATCTTAGATCATTTTCTTATTTTTTGAAAAACATAATAAAAACATATTATAATCCAATTATAATACTCTTAAAAAATAGGCAATAATTTACTTCAGATAACTCAAAAACTCATTTTTACATTAATCAAAGTCTACTTTTTCCTGTTTTATCGGAGATCATGACAATTTATTTTGTCATTTTTTATGTACCGTGATGGCGAGCCAAAAGACTTGGAAGTATGTTTGAATTGACATAAGTTTTAAGATTTCCAATAAAAGGGAGTAGTAGGTATCATCATCTGTTCTCAAAACTTAAATTTGCTTCTTTACTTGTTAAAACTTTTTCCAATACTTTACTATAAATGGGAATTTGCTTTTAATTTACTTGTTCTCAGAAAATTATTAAATTGTCTTCAATTATTTAAAAAAAAACAGTACTTATGAACATTTGAACATAGCAAATGCTTATAAATGCTATTCTCTTAGTAACACATTTTTAAAGCAGTTGATAATTAGTTTTAATTTATACAATGATTTGTAGATAAATTCCAGGTTTGATTACTTAAGTTGTATAATTAATGATATTGCTTACAAGGCTAATCCCTATTTATCACTTACTAGTTCTAGTTAAACTAGAAAAATAAAATATAAGGCTCTATATAGTATATTGTAAATATACTAAAGTTTAGACTTTAAAACAGGCACATTATCTATTATTTCATAAAAATAGTATCACTGTTTTTAGCAGACACATTTTAGATTTTTATATTGTTTATCTTGAGATTATGGAAGTTAATTATATAATAATTAATGTTCTTATTTACTTCTGATTTAAGCTGTAAACTCAAATTGCATTCATTATTTCTATCTGGTAGTGTCATTTTTTACACCATTCAATTACTGATGATATAATTTTTGAGTCAGAAAGACCAAATCATGAAAATGTCTAAAATATGATTAATTTCAATTTATTTTCTTAATATTTTTTTTGTTGTTGTTGTTGTTGTTCTCTTGTTCTTTTTTTTTTTGTAATGAATTACACTATAAGTTGTTTTCAGCTTTAATTTTAATTGTAGATCATATTATTATTAAACATTCAAATTATTCTGATTATCTATGTTTGAATTTTAATTTAAAATACATAACTTGATTTTTTTAAGATGAATGTAAATGTGGATACTTGAGAATTTTCAGAAATATTTGTTTACTTTTACTGGCTTTCATATATTTGTAAAAATTGACAGAGTCTTGACCAACATTTATTTGTAATTATGTTTTGTTGTAATATCACTAAAAAAAAAAAAGGAAAATTGTAAAGATTTTTTCAACTTTCTCAATGTGAAAGTTGAAATTAAATATCAATAAATAAGACTAACAATAATTAAAAAATCTCAGTCAGGAGGCAATTTAACTGCTTATAATATGAAGCCAATGCAAATGTTAGCTTTATAACATAAATTTAGAAACATTTTCATAATGATTTTTTCAATTCTTTGTTCAAAATAAAAATTTGAGAACTACAAAAGAAAGTGGTATTGGTTCCTAAATTGTTCAAATTTGTGCTTAAATGAAGATAGGACCATTATTTCCAACTAAATAACTGTTTGCATTTTTTTCTGTAAATTATAATTAAGAATAATGATTTTTGATTTCAAATATTTTAAGTTTTATTTTAGTATATAGCTGGAAATTCTTTAAATATTAAAGAAAAGAATGCAGTAAAGAACCGTAACAATTATGCTTTTGTGAATTCATTAAATTTCCACAAAAGATTCAAGTGGATATTCAAATGGCGTGCCTGTTATTTAAAAATCTAAGTTCAAATCTTTTTTCTTAGATATTTCTAAATTAAAGAAAGACTTAACCTGAAATTTTGATTGCTCCCTACTACTAAACATAACATGAGTAAAAAAATTTTATATTAAGTATTTATNTAATATTTTTAAATATAAGAATTAAAGATTGTATAAATTGAAATCCTTGTTTAATATTGTATTTCAAGTAATTATAATTAAATCAAACTATTTAATGGAAAATCTTATATTCAATTAATAGAAAACTTGGCATCATAATAAATGATAGCTAAATTGAGTTTTATTCACATTTATACATGATTTAATTAATTAATGAACATGTATTTGTGCATAATGGAAACATTTATGAATAAAAAGTTTTAAAATATTGGAGTGATTTACATGACAAGTTTCATGAAATGTGATTTGAAAAAGTGAACCTAACTAATTAACTAAATGATATTTCTAAACGATTAATGTTATAGATATTTATGTTTAAATTGAAAAAATAATGATTAATTTCCAAGATATGCAGCAAACAAACGAGAGAGAACGGATTCTGATCTAGAACCTTCTGGAGCTGTTCCATCTTTTGGTAGGAGCGTCAGGCATTCTTTATTTTGAGTTCCGTATCCAGAGCATATTATGTCAGGTAATCTTGAAGCAGCCATTCTTAATAATAATTGCATAAAGTCTACAGCTGCTTTACCACATTTGTTTTCAACAGTGCTTTTGGCACAAGAGAGATATCGTTGATATGCACTGGAAAAAAAAGTTAAAATAATTTCAGTATTTAGAAGTATTATTTATTAGCGTTATCAAAATTAAATATTTACCAGCAGCTGATAGGGATACGCTTATCAAAAGCCGCATTTCCAATGGCTTCTAAAGCAGCTTGTATATCAGTTAAGCATTTTTTCTGCTCATGATTTGCATTTTGAAGGCACGGTGCATGTCTGAGATAACCTATCAAAGAGTAAATTGGAATTTAGATCTTTATTATTTCAAGAATTTTAATTAAAACTCTTTCTTACTAGCTCTCAGCTCAGTTCCAGGAGTGCAGTATTGTTCAAGTAACTTCTCTGATCCTTCGCCTACAAAACTCAGCAGTTCTCTTTGAAGTGAAGTCAGGCATCGATGAGTGAAGTTTCTAAAGCACTGATTAGCTTCACGAATATAACTACAACAAAGTTTAAATAATAAGAGTAATATTATTTAAAATATTTTATTATTTATATTTTATTATATTAAAAAGTTTACTCTTATTTAATTTCAACATACATTAAACATTATATAAGCTTAAAATCAATTGTTGGCAATTATAATCATATCAGTTATTAAATAATAATGTGTTAATCATATTAATGTATAAAATAAAATTTTATGTTTGTTCTACTGTTCAGATATTCCAGATGATGATCTGATTCAGGAGAATTAAAAAATGATAGAAATATTTTAATGTGGTTGATAAAAATAGATTTTAAGAATTGTAATGTGAATATCACATACATATGATGTTATGGAAAGTGTTATATGTTGAGACAATGCTATATAACTCTCTTACATTCAGTAATGTTCTGGATTAAACAAATAGCACTTACATAATAGTCCAGTTGTTAAAATTTTCTTCTACTTGTTATGCTGTGATAGCAAAAGCTCTCAGGTTTTGGAACATTAGCTATATATTTATTATATCAGTATTATTCAAAGGTTATATACATTACATAACATAAACTGATGATAAAGTTTAGTTTAAAAATAATTAAAGAATAAGAATTATTACATAATATACTTTACTGAGAGACAAGCTATTTGTATTAATCACCATTAAAATCAGGTAATTATTTATGCTCAAAATGAAATTCAAATCTATGATTTGATATTTAAAAATGTACAAGTAAACTGTCATTAGGCAGCATAATTTGTTAATTGCTAATCATTAAATGATAATAATTGAAATATTGAAGTCTCAGTAGTAATATATTTAGTTTATTGATATAATGATTCAATTCATCAATCATAAAACTTTAATAAAGTATTTAAAATACACAAATATTTTATTTTTTAATCATTCAAACAAAAATTTAGGAAGTTAAAATTATGATTATTAGTTCATTTATGTTATTAAATATATAATGTATCTTGAAATATTTGTCTTTTTATTAAAATATATAAATTCTTATAACAAATAAATTGTATTCATTGTTTATTATATAAGTTTTTCATTCATAATCAAGCCAATCTTCTTAATCAAATGGCCAATTTTGTAGCGTATTAAAATTGTTTTGACATAAAAATTGTGAATTAATAAAAAAGTATTACAATGCCAACTGTGAGTAAGATGCATTTTAAATGATTTATGAAATAAAATGGAATATGGAAAATTTTAAATAATTAACAATAAGTAATTTACATTCTAAATTTATGTACATTTATAAGAAATTTTATGCAATTCAATAATATTAGTAACTTGTCTCTCAATCTTTAATAGTATTCTCTCATCATCATATATATTGTATTTAGTTTGAAGATTATTTTTTCACTGTTGTAACCACTGTTTAAGTTTTTTATTATAACATAAATTTATTTTTATTATTTTAATAATAAATAGTACTTATATAAGATATAATCTCAAAATGTGGCAAAGGACTTACTAATACTAATAGTCCTTATATATAAGAACTGTAATGTTTGTTATGTCTATGATGATTATACAGTTACAAGAGAACAAACTTTATGCTTAATTAATCATTAAAAAATAACTTTTAAAAAAGCTTTAACTGTCAAATATCTAATATAATGTTTTGGAATTTGTAATAAAAATTCAAACATTTGTAATAAAAGTTTTATGATAATGAATGTAAATATGAATTAATCTTTTTTTTTTTTTTATATATTATCTAATTATTCAATTCTTTACAGTTAATTTAAATGAAAAAAAATAATCAATATGATTTAAAATTTTCTTTATTAAAAAAAATACATTGACAAATACATTAAAAATGTTTAAAATAAGATGCATAATATTTTTAAATATAAGAACTAAAGATTGTATAAATTGAAATCCTTGTTTAATATTGTATTTCAAGTAATTATAATTAAATCAAACTATTTAATGGAAAATCTTATATTCAATTAATAGAAAACTTGGCATCATAATAAATGATAGCTAAATTGAGTTTTATTCACATTTATACATGATTTAATTAATTAATGAACATGTATTGTGCATAATGGAAACATTTATGAATAAAGTTTTAAAATATTGGAGTGATTTACATGACAAGTTTCATGAAATGTGATTTGAAAAAGTGAACCTAACTAATTAACTAAATGATATTTCTAAACGATTAATGTTATAGATATTTATGTTTAAATTGAAAAAATAATGATTAATTTCCAAGATATGCAGCAAACAAACGAGAGAGAACGGATTCTGATCTAGAACCTTCTGGAGCTGTTCCATCTTTTGGTAGGAGCGTCAGGCATTCTTTATTTTGAGTTCCGTATCCAGAGCATATTATGTCAGGTAATCTTGAAGCAGCCATTCTTAATAATAATTGCATAAAGTCTACAGCTGCTTTACCACATTTGTTTTCAACAGTGCTTTTGGCACAAGAGAGATATCGTTGATATGCACTGGAAAAAAAAGTTAAAATAATTTCAGTATTTAGAAGTATTATTTATTAGCATTATCAAAATTAAATATTTACCAGCAGCTGATAGGGATACGCTTATCAAAAGCCGCATTTCCAATGGCTTCTAAAGCAGCTTGTATATCAGTTAAGCATTTTTTCTGCTCATGATTTGCATTTTGAAGGCACGGTGCATGTCTGAGATAACCTATCAAAGAGTAAATTGGAATTTAGATCTTTATTATTTCAAGAATTTTAATTAAAACTCTTTCTTACTAGCTCTCAGCTCAGTTCCAGGAGTGCAGTATTGTTCAAGTAACTTCTCTGATCCTTCGCCTACAAAACTCAGCAGTTCTCTTTGAAGTGAAGTCAGGCATCGATGAGTGAAGTTTCTAAAGCACTGATTAGCTTCACGAATATAACTACAACAAAGTTTAAATAATAAGAGTAATATTATTTAAAATATTTTATTATTTATATATTAATTTTGTCATTCAGATCATTCTGCAAATAATCTGCAATTATCCTGAAAACAAGCTAAATTTTGATATATTTTGTCTTTAATGTCTAAAATATTTCTTTAATGAAAAATTATACAGTTTTTGTTTTTCTAAGNTAATTTTATTATTTATATTTTATTATATTAAAAAGTTTACTCTTATTTAATTTCTAATGTAAATTTTAGAATATTCTGTTATGAAATGTGTTATGAATTAAACATTAAATGATTATAATTACTTTCTAATTAAATTTTTATATTCCAAGATTTGATTAAACAGCTGTATGACCAAAGCTTGCTGCTAGAAAGATTTCAATCCAAATTAGATACTCAGGAATTTTCGTAATGGTCACAGTCAGTATATATCAAGTCCTGTTCTTCCCTCCCAACTACTACAATTTGGGACTTGTAAAAGGTTTGCTTAGTGCTTTCAAGGTAGAAGAGTAATAAAAAAAAATTTGATTATTTGATATAATATAAAAATAAGAATAATCAATGGGCAATAACTTTTTCTCTATTGTGAAATTCTTGACAAATAAGTATATTGATCCAAGTATGGAATGTATGTGTGTTGAAGACTGAATAGTAAAATATATATACCAGACATGGGCAAATGCGGCTCTTTTCGAGTTACATGCGGCTCTTGTTGGAAGTGTTAATTTCTGCTTTTTATTATTATTTTTACAATTTATTTCCACAATTTTGTGAAAATATGTTTATTAAAAAAATTCAATATTTGTTTTATATTATATTTATAATAAAATCATGATACAGAACTGCGTCTCCCATCCAATTTGCAAAACCTACATTTTGGCTCCCACTGAACTCTTGCTTGCCCACCCCTTCATATATATATATATATATATATAAGATATCGATATATATATATATATATATTGATATCTTAATATCTTAAACTATCTCCTATCATATTAGAAGTACTAGCTCAATTCAATGGTAACTTCATTCAAGGCAAAACTGATTATTGCCACTTCTTGTTTCCAGAATGGTTGCCAATAGCGAGCACTTCTAGCACTGGCATTCTTTTATGAACTATTTATAAGAAACTTTAAAGTACATTTATGATATTTCACTGTATTGGACTTATTATTTTTATTTATCTTTTCTCCTTTTGAACATTTTTGACTGCTCATTTTACTGCTTGAGGCAGTTGCTTCTTCTCCTTACCAATTGAGCTGACTCTGATCAGAAGAATCCTATTGTGCATAACATTATACTTCTGATGAATATTAACTGATGAAAAGTAAACAAAAAAGTTTAAAAATCAAAAGAAAATTAATTAGGATTTTTTTTTACTGCCACAATTATTTGTTCCTTAGTTCTTTGCCTAATATATGGAATAATAAGCTATTTTGTTCAGTTTAGTTAAAATCATTAAATATATTAATCTAATTACCATAATTTTAATTTCCTTAACTTACAAAAATTGCTAGAATGCATAGCTTGTATCTGCTTTCAAAATTGACTTTAAAATATAGATAACCTTTAGATTATAAGCAGAAAATTATGATACTTTCAAAGATCATATTAAATTCTCTTTTTTATTGATTGGATCATTCTGTAATAGATTTAGTTAAAATTCTGAAGCATCTTTCATTTCTGCAATTTCTGAAAAAAAAAAACAAGTCAAAAAAGCACTTATTCTTGAGTTTCCATCCAATTTTTTAGGATTTAAGAAGAATGTTCTAGGTCATGAGTATAGTAACTCTTTAAAACATCCCCAAGACATCTGATAGAATAAATTGATGTTAAATAATGAAAGAAAAATATGTTGCATCTTTATGTAAAAAAAGATCATAAAAAATTGTTTTACATATCATATGCTAGATTTTCAGGTTATTTCTGTATTTGAATGTATATATTTGGAGATAATCTGTTTAGCAGCTAGTGAATTTCATTTCATGGCTTAAATTTTTCTTCAGTGTTCATCTAAAACACCTTTCAGTCATTTTAAATCATTTACAGAAATGTGCTTTGGATCTATTTACAGAGACATGGAATTTATAGTTTTGAATATATTTGTTGTTTCTGTACAGTACATTAAATATTTATAAAGCATATACCATGAATTCTGGATTTAGAGGACACGGTGAACAAAATGGCTAGACCCAGCTTGCAAAAGAACTGTTAATGAGCTTTTAGCTTTGATCAAGCAGACAACAAACAAAAAATTTCCTATTCTTCCTATTTTGAAAAGCTGTTAAGAGGACAGTGTAATAGATTACATACATTCCATGAATATCAGGTAAAAAATATTAAAGTTTATCTTCAGTGCCATAATTTCATGGAATGTTTTTTGTAACAGGTACATTAAACTTGCTAAACAGTTTTTTACATCTCACTATTATGGATCAGGTTATAACATTGATTAATCTAAAAATATATAAAAAATTTAGAGAACTAAAAACATATATTTCAAAATACAATGTGAACAGCCATATTTCTTCTGACTTACAGGACTAAGTAGATGAGAATATTATCCAAAATATTTTATTACCATTCTTAATGTAAATGCATTTTGGGCTTTAAGCCCCTCTTCATGCTACAATGATACACTCAACTTATAAATGAGAACAAACATCCAAAGTACATACCTTTTATATAACAAAAATAGTAAAGTTTTTCATAAATAACATTTTTTGTAACTGACACAAACACTGCAAATGATAACCATTGAACTTGTTTAAAAACATCTTATGCATGCCAATTCTACATCACTGTAAATTGACAACAGATGCAACTGATGTTTACAAAAACATCACTTACTTTTTATTACATTTTATTATTGCAATTAGCCTAATTTAAAGTACTACATCACCCCAATTTGTATTAACTAACATACCGTTATTTAAATTTATATTATTTTTATGTTTTATCATTTTTCAAAATGTTTTATAAATTTCCTTTTATAATTGTCTGTTACGTTATGTAATATTTTAATGTTCTGTTTATCGATATCACAACAATATTAAAAAAACATTTGAATTTGAGAATGTTAGCCAAGAAATCATTCATTAGATGCTGAAGCAAAGATCCAACATTGTTAGGTCTAAAATGAAGCTTGCATTGTCTTTAAAATGTCGGCACAGCAAAATTGTAGCAAGATTGAAATTTGTAATAAATAACATGAACCTCAAGTAGAATATCTTAGTGTATTGTACTTTGTTGACTTTTAGTGTTTTGTATGATGTAAAATTAGTTTTGTTTAGATCATTTTTAGTTATGAAAAGATCTTTGGATGAGACCTATTGTTTTAATTTATACTAGAAAGGAGCCTTAATACTTTTCTAGATGGAATTTTGATAGAGGAAATTTTATGGTGTGAGGTGCCTTTAATGTTCTTGGTAAGCCCACACTGGTATTTACTGTGTCTTCTAACATGGATAGCATAGAATGCAGCAAGTGTTATATAACTATTTGATGCAGTATTTACAAAGATTCCAGTAACAGTTCCAACAAAGCAATGCTTTCATTCAGAATAGCAAGAGCACAAAAGCATTTTTGGTCAACAACATTAACTTAGTGCAACAGTAATATGATGATGAATGTTTGAGAATAATTGTGCTTTGGATCTATACAAATAATCAGCAGTATGATGATATAGCTAAGCTAAAAGTGGCATATATATATATATGGTTTGACTTGTCAACCAACAGAAATGGAACATGGACAATTAAAGGTGGTTCTATAGTTTGACTTAATGTATTTGTAGTTTCATACTATCCCTATATATTAATTAAGACACATTAATAGAATTTCACCAATATTCATTGACAAATTTTTTATTAGTTTCTAAGTAATGAAATATTTTGGAAGTTAGTTACATTCAGTATCATTCTGTTTTCAAAACAGTATAGTTATGCAATGTTCATAATCCAGTAAAAAGAATTGCATTTATTTATTTCTTTTAAATTAATTAAGATACCATTATATATATATATATATTAACGATGATTTTTTAAAAATTTATTATAAAGATATGCTATTGCTATTGACAAATAAATGCTCCCGTAAATTTTATGTAAGATATTGTAAGCAGTTTTTATAAGTGAACATTCTGAAATTACTCAACTAAGTCGTTGGGAGAGAAAATCGAATCTGGATCTTTGTGGCGAAAAGCACAGCTGTTTGTACAGTACTGTACATAGCATATCGGAAGACATGTCCTCCTTTTAAATACAATAACTAGGACATATCTTCCATTTTACAATACACTCGCGTATTACTGTTAATATTAAATGACTGAAAAATATAACTAACTTTTGTAATAAGAGATTGAGTTATTTCATATATTTTTTATTTAAAGCATATTCAAACCGATACAGTATTTGTACAGTATATGTCCTCTTTTTCAGAACAGTTTGTCCTAAATTTTACATCTGTCAATGCTATTTTGACGCTTCCACCTGGGCTACAATGCAGCGAAATATAACGAATGAATAAAAAAATGGACAAAATAACATTTACTTTTTTACTATTCTTAAATAAACGCAGCATTGGATGTTTAAAAACATTTTGCCTAGAAAATTTAATACATTTTATTGTCTATAAGCCCTAACCGGCGCCCCGTGGTGATTCATATTCGGGACGCCGGTTAAGGCTGTCCGTAGATGACGTCCACACTGGAAAGGGAGAGGGGTTGAGCTTCAGTGAACTTCTGTTTATTTCGTTAATAAAATGCATAAACCGTATAAAATTTACCTCTGTTTCAAAATTGTATGTTTCTTTTCTACTTATGGTATATGTCATTCATAAAGTGATAAAGATTTTGGGCCCATCAGTGGCCAAGCGGTCCTCGTACCCTGAACACTGGGAGTTCGGTCGTGGGTTTGCGCCTCGCTCGAATGAGCTGGCCACGTGGAGTTTTCCGGGTTTTCTCCACGTCTGTAACGCCTAAATAGGGGTCAGCTTTCCTTAAAAAGCCTTCCCGGAAGGCATCTCCCTAGGCAGATCACCCAAGTGTTGCGTTGCCATAACTAAACAAACAGATAAAGATTTTAAGAGGGGTCGAGTTTTGTTGGATGTCCGAAGAGGGGAGGGGGGTTACGGAAACGGACAATTGAGGGGTACTAAAAGTATCAAGAAAATTCTGGTCGTAATTTATGGACAGTCTCAGCTCCTTGGCACTTTATTTACTACTATACTCCTGGACGGACTATTTTGACGATAAGATTGAATAAATTTACATTTTACTTTAAATTCTAATTCGCGTACATTTTATGTAAAATTTACTTCAAATGTCATCGTCCGTTTTGGCCAGCCCTTAAAAATATTGCAAATTATAACATTTTTATCTTCCCGACTGTTAAAGTAAGAAAGAAAGCATTGTAATCAGTCAAATTCTCAGGGCTTTCGTATTTCTCGACGTTTTAGGTCCTTCGATTCCAAAACCAAAGACGGAAACGATTTGTTTGCGCGTTGGCCTATATTTTATGTATCAGGCTTTCTACGGACCAATTGCATTGATGCTGTTACATTTTGAAGAATATAAACCGAAGGGGATAAGAAAAGGTTTTCACCCGGCTGGCGATGAGCAGGTTTGACCGTAATTTTAAATCAAGGCCGTCGATCGGCAAAACAGTTAAAAGTATTAACAAAATTATATTTTAATTGTAAAAAAAGTATTCTTAATATTCAAAAAGTTGTACTTATAATGATAAAACGACTTTCTCATTATAATTAAAAGTTTTTGTTATAATTCATGGACGTACTTTAAGTTTTTAGTAAAGTTAAAAATGTTTGTTCGCGTTAATTCAACTGTAGTTTAGAAATTTAAAAATTTATTTTTTTTAAGATGAGCCAATCTAGAAATTTGTCTGATTCTTTTCCTCTCCGAAAAAAAGTTCAATTCTACAGAACATTTATTCAATGTACAGTACAGTACAATCCTGGTGTCGAGTGAATAACTCGTGATGATATTTGTTCAGCTCATTGCATCATTAAGTGTTAAATACGATGGAATTAAAGCACTTACAAGGCACGCCGACTGCGAGAAGCACAAAAGTGGTGTACCAATCGAAACTTCTCATACAATAAAAACTTTTTGCAAAGGACTCGAGTGTAAAAATTTAGAGCAGTTAAAGTTACCAAAATTTTTCATAATGCAAAACGTGGATTAATTAATCTGCAGTTCTGGTGATTGTGGTAAGTATACGTTTTATTGATATTTATATTTATAATAATTTAAATTAATACGTTAAACATTATTTTTACTAAGAAGTTATAAGTTATTTAAATTCGCTAAAATGTTTAATTTGAATGCCAGATTGAATATGTTTAGTTGTTCGTTAAAATATTGGTCAAATTTCATTCTTCTCGTTTACCTTTCCCTCTCTGGTCATCGCGTTGCTGCGTGAAGTCCGTTTCCAAAGAGATCAGATTTAATGAAAATTTTATTGGTTATCAGCATTTACAGTTTTTGTAAAAACACGTCCCTATTCAAAAAGTAAGGATTTACATTATTATTATTTCATTATTATAAAAATTAGTTTAGATAAAATCTCGTAATAGATGGCGTCACACCTTTTCTTTAACCCTCTGTTTAATTGTGGAAGAGTCCTTGCCAGTTTTATTTTTTAATTTTATAATACACAAGAAATTTTTTACTATTTAAATTTTTTTTTAACAGTGGAGACCTCAAAAAGGTAATTATCCAAGTTTTTCTGAATATCTGAGAGATTCCTTATTAACAATCAAATCAGGAACATAAGTGGGTGTATTGTATTGAAGTTCCAGTTGCCAAATATCTACGATTATACAAAAGGATAGTAAAAATGATTATTGTTACCATTCCAACTTTCACTCCATTTACTATGCGTTTACACTTACTAAAAATTGATTAGACGAATATTTTAATTTAAAAAGTGAGGAATAAATAATAAAGCACATTGCACATAATTCTCCTTCTCGTAAATTACAGTATTTGTAAAGCAAGATTGAGAATAGCTTCCTGAGAGGTCATATACACTCTTGATTTTTTTTTAACCTTTGTCTCTATACAAAATTTATCAGGATGTAATTTATATTTTGACTAAATTCAGGGTATGTTCAATTGAACTGTTAGGTTTCGTGGGATATTGATTAGTCCATTGTGGTCCATTTTGAAAGATTCATTTGAAATACGTATAATTTCATGATAAAAAATTTGAGTATCAAATTGAATTTCTAGTTAGCAATAAGTACATTGAAATGTATGTTAAAAAAAGACTTTTTTAAATGTAATTGATAGTGTGCAATTAGCTTAGTTTGAATTTAAAATAAGTAATGACTATTACAATTAAACCTCGTTTATGTGACATCCATGAAATTTCCCTGTAAAATGCGCAAGTTTTAATATAAATCAAACACCTTGGTGGCCTCTGGCCACCTCAATGAAGTGGTCAAGATAAAAGCATCGTAGTGACATTTATATTTGAACATTTTCAACAAAGGAACGAAGCATCTTGTTCTGTTGGCCGTTTACGTGGCCACATTTTAGGGGGGGCCTAAAATGCATGTATTTGTTTTATTAATTTCCCAAATCTAATTAATTAAGGGGCTAAATGCAAATTCTTGAACAGGACACAGGAATGGCTAGTTTTACGGCACTGTTCGGACAGTACTATATGTAAATTTTGTCGTAACCCCACATAAGTGACCATCTCACTTAGGTAGCCAGAAATTTACCCGAAGATGGTTATATTTTACTATAAATAAATGTAATATATATATCAATTCTTTGAATAGCTACTTAAATTCTGTTTTGTATTATTAATAAAAGCATTATTATAAATTGTAATTTTATATTCTAGTTTGATTTTATTTTAAAATTTTAATCTATTTATATAAATGAAATAATCACAATAAATAAAACATTTATTTTATGCAGAATTTTTTCTTCAAAGATCAGCGTTAAACCCGGTGGAAGCATAAAAAATTTCTAACCTGTCATTCTGTCATTCAAGAGGCTTGCTTTACGGATATATAAAAATATATTTAAAATATAATAAAATTGTAAGTACTTAAAAATTCTTTAAATTTATACTATATAATGAAGTTTAATTTGAAAAAATAAACCGAGACAGATTAGACATGTTTATTTGTGTGGAACGGTCCCAACAAATTTTAAAGAACACATGTTAAGTAAGGTCAGGGCTAAAATAGCCATAATGTAGTCAATTTATAGTCATTTTGTGCAATGACATATTTAATTTTATTGCTATGTTATTGGCAATTACTCTACATTGCATTTGTATTGATTTCTTGTAGAGATAAATTCTTAAATCGTTATTTTCCAGTAGAAGGAACCACCACCATACATCGATTGTACAATAGAAGGCGTGATATGGCTCGATAGAAGCGCATAAATTTATCATCAGTAACTGGTTTTCGGTTAAATTAGGCTACATATTTTCTTTGATATTAGATATTTATTTTAGGTAAACTATTTCTTTAATTTTCTAGAAAATGGAAACTGAGCTTCGCTTGAAACACTGATTTATGCAGAGAGCTCCGCTCAATTACAAAAATAAGTTCAAAATATTCATCAAATTGATAACGTAAATAATTAACACTGTGTACTTGTTTTTTAAAGTGATTTCAAAATACAAGCATCTCATCCAAAAATTCGGAAAATCCAATCATGTTAAATAATTAGTTTTTAGAATGGGGAAAATGAAAAATATTAAATTTACTTCATGAATGGTCAAACAAAACCATTATTAAATGCTTTTCTAATGAATGAAAATATTTTTGAACAATTTTTAATTCTTTCAATTGAAAAAAATTTACTGTTAAAGTAATCAGATAAATGTTAAATCTTTAAAACTAACTTATTTAATCTGTTAAAAATTTGTTAGATATAACGTGATGATGATTCTAATTGAATTACGAGTACATTTATCCTATATTTTATCTTAGTTTTAAATTTTAATTACTGTGCAATTATTGTAAAATATTGGATTGTATAATACCAAATACTAATTTACGCAATCAAATCTAACATAATGTTTTGTTTATTTTAAATTTTGATTAAAAGTAATAATTTATTGATAATTACAAATAATTCTTTAAACCGAAACATTTTCGGTATCTTCAGCAGAACACAAATTAATCCGCTGAGGATGAAGTTTCAGAATGATCCACGAAAGTTAAGACATAATAGTTTACGAGTTAAAGAATTATTATTTACGAAATATATTTGAAATTATTATGCGAATATATAACATATATTCATGTAACAATTATTCACATTATTTATAAATTCATAAATTATATATAATTAAATTTATATGTCGGCATTAATTCTATTTGTTCTAAATATGCTCCCCTCTCAAAAATAAAGTTAAAAAAAAACTTTAATATGCCAAATTATTATTTATCCATGCCGTGCTCGTATATCGGCCGAAAACGATCAGATCAATCAAAACAAACAGTAAACAGTAACTGAAATTCGTCTAAGAAAATGATGAACGTCTCCGGAATCATTAAAGTTTATTATTATTGAAATTTGAGTGATATTATAATTTATCATTTATAGACGATATTGTTTACAGAACATGTTTTTATTTTTTATACCGAAAACAGTTTAAATAATAAACGCATCGTTAATTAAGGCACTTAACTGCATTCAGATTTATTTATTCATTTTCTTTTTCCGTCCTATGGGCATTAAAAGGGTTTGGCCAGTCCTACGTTTGGAGCGACCTCGCATAAGGACTGGGTTAAAACGTATCCAGGCATCCATGAAATTCCCTAAAATTCAAAAACAGTACTCGAACCTGGATCCGTCAGATCAGCAGGTTGATGCTTTTACTGCCTCGGCCATCTGGTCATTTGGATTAAGGACATTCACAGGAGGAGTCAAGAGAGGCAACTGTCCTTCCTGAGATTTATTTTATTTATTTGTTATTTGCGTTTTTGAATAACAATTTTATAAACCAAAGGTATTTTAATAGTCATATTAAAGTAACCACAATCTGCACGTGACAAAATTACCTCTAGTTCTGCAGGAATTGTAGTAAATAGTATCTTCTAACTATACTATCTTCCAAATAGAAGATTCCATGTTGTATTGTATAGTTGGACTTTTTGCTTGGTTTTTGTGTTCACTCATGGGATAGATGAATTTAGTATAAGTAGAATATTTCCTCAAAAATATAATTTTGAAACTACATGCGAAAATACCTAAATGTTTTTCCTTGAGCTTAATTAATAAAAAGCCGACATTTTTTATTACGTGATCGATGTCCTCTTATGCTGGCTTTCCATTTAGAGCGATTTTCAGGAGATTCAGTCACCTTTGTCACTGCTCATGCGCACTTCAAGTACTTTGGCGTCAGAATACTAGGACAACGCGTATTTTTGCTTGGGAAAGTGTTTGAATTGAAATAACATGCCTTCCGGTTTGCATTGGAAGTTTGCAATCGGGGCCTCTGCCATATCTGGTCTCGGATTTCATCTATATAACTCCGTTCTCGAGATTAAGGAAAGACGAACGACAGTGAGAATTTATAGGTCTATAATTTTTTTTTTTTCAAATTGCAGCCAAAAAACGAGAAGATAGAAGCATGGCGCCCTCAGAAAATTTTTCAGGGGTCAATGCTCGGAGACAAATAATTAAGTAAAAATTGATATAATTTTTCTGGGTTTCTTCACAAGTAGATTATAGACTAAAGCAGGCATGGCCAACATACGGCCCGCGATTAATCTTTTAATATTAGCTACTCAAGTCAGAATAGCTCGGCGAAAAATTCTAACGCCTAGGAAAAAAAGAGTCAACTCGCTGTCTGGTTAGAGTTAACCCTCCATTACGAATCTCATAAGTACAGCGTCAAACGTTGATAAAGCATGATAATGTGAAAAATGTATCTGTAATCTCTATGTACAATTTAGTCTCTAAGGGGTGACACCACAATGAGATCTCGCACCACCTCAGAATCTTCCTAGGGCAGCCTCTGGTTCGGCCCGTGAAAAAAGTTTTATTTCCAATTTGGCCCGGGGGCAAAAACTGTTGGCCACCCCTGGACTAAAGTATTGCATCAATGCCGTATTCTATAATCTATCTATAATAGCCAGTGTCCTATGGTCGAGGGTGTAATGTTACATATCTCAATCATTTTTACGATTATAATTTGAGGAATCTTTTGCTCGATTTCAGGGCGGGGCAGAGAGTGCTCCGATTTCTCTCTGAAGACACCCATGAAAAAATACGGAAGCAAATGGCTTTAATAATGGCAGATTAGTTTTAAATGTTTAAAAAGTTAAATTGAAAAAATATAGATATAAACTTTTAGTTGAAAGTTTTAAAAAATTCTCATAATTCATACAAATCGCCTTCCATTTCGCGCGAATTGTGTAAGCAAGTAGGACAGCGATTGCGTCACTCTACGAATCATCAGGTGACAGCGACGCGATTGTGTTAAGTGGAGAGCCAGCATTATACAGTAGACCCCCCTATAACACTGTTGATAATTCCATGTTATACGAGTCACTTAGATTTTACAAATACATGAGCTGTTCATATCCCGGCACACGTATTTGTAAAATCTAAGTGACTCGTACAACATGAATTCATATAACAACAGTAGAATTATCAACAGTGTTATAGGGGGGTCTACTGAATAGTGTTATAGTTAAGAGAAGTATTGATACAATAGTCCATCACCTTTTGTCGTTTTACCCGTATAAAGTGTAATATTACGTAGTACACTGTTTTGTTCTTTCATATTTCCGTGTGTACACTTAAACATTTCAAAGAATCTAATAATTTATCAGTTTGTTGTTTTATAATGGAAAATTCATAAACTTTTTATTTTTGTTGAAAACGACTCATATATATTTAAAGATTTTGTATTTAACGTATAGATTTATAATCAATTTAAATAGTGAAAATTTCCATCAAATTTCCTAATAAAATAAAGGAAAGAGAACGTCTAAGAAAAAGTTCGATGCAAACACTAAATATTTATTTTACTTTTTTAAGTTTAAATTTTATAATGAAAGAAAATACATGAACTTCCATTCTCGCCTTTTGTTTTTATACTTCTTATGCACCCATAAAATCTTCCATTCAAAAATTTTACGCTTAAAAAAAGAGGACATGTCCGGGAAAAATAGGACATAGCAATCTCACTTCGAATTATAAAATCTTAAGTTTTTGTCCGGATTTATAGATCTAACTTACAGAAGTATCAAATAATTCAAAATTGAATATTTCTATTTAGATCTAACATTTTATTTTTTGATGGAAACAAAAATAAAATGTATATCCTACCTGCATTGTCTGTTTAATTCGGCATCGGTTGTAGCCACGCCACTAGGACTTTGGTTAAATAGCAAAAGTGTTGCGGCGCAAAGATCCAATTCTCTCAAATGACAAGATTGAGAAGATACATAATGACATACTGAAACATAGAAAGTTTATGTCAAAATTATTTATGAACTAACCTTGTTTTTATATTGACCTATATCATACAAAAAAACATGGTAAGTGGTTAACCGTAATGATTATTTCATGCAAACAGGTTATTTTTGTCGGTAGATCGATCAAATGGATTATATAATAAAACCATCGACTTCTCTTATCTACGGACCTCTGTCCCTAAAAGAAAATGGGTTTTTGCGGAAATGTTAATATTATTTAATCACTAATGCATTTTTAATTAATCTACTTTAATATATTCGAATTCTTATTAAATTTATTACTAATTATTAATTTTTCTTTAGTTTCTATTTATTAAAACAAACCATTCTTATTTGTTTTTAGCACTTTTCTATTTGTGAAGATGCCACGAATCTAAAGATCCCTTCATACAAGAATAAAAAAAAATAAATCCTGGAGCTCTCTCCAGGATTTATTTTTTTTATTCTTAATCATAATTTGTGTCAATATTAGACAGAAAAAATTGATTACAAATTGAATAGATAAGAAAGAACAGACAGGAATCATCGTCAAAACTTGTGATTTTAGTACGCAACTTAAGTAATTATTTTTCATTATTCCCATCTATAAA